CTTTAATCAGGAAACACGTGTTCTGCAGACGAAGGTGGAGCGGGGGGGCCATGGCACGGTGGAGCGGGGAGGCCGCCCTCCACATCCAACCCCAGGAAAAAGTAACCTGGAGGCAGAAAAAGTCAAACTGATGAATGGACACTTATCCACTGAGCATTCTCTAAGGGAACTGGGTTACACTGTTTTGAATTTGAGGTAACATCAATCTATTTAAATTACTTTATAATTCAAATGATGACTTTGTCACCAATAGCTTAAAAAGCAAACAACGTACCTTAAACACGACACATACACTCTTGAAGTCTAGTCTGTTCTCTGCATGTGTGTCAGAAATTGATGTTTGCCAATAAACAGGTGCCATCAGGAAAAACAGAGGTTTTCAAAATTGAAAGCTCCCTCCCTCTCCCACAGCCAGCTTGCATATCCCCCTGGAAGACAGAGGCCAGGAAGTGAGGCTGGCTCTCTGTGGTGCCAGCCACTCTCTGCAGCGCTGGAGCCCTGTGGGGGAATGGCAGGAGGCCTGAGAGACGCACCCCTGCCACAGACACCGGGATAAGGGCTGCGTCCACAGAAATTCGCTCTCATGTTCTCTAAGACCTGGGGGGTCCATGGCCAAGTTAACAACTCCACACAATGTGAAGGAACCTGACAGGCAGGTGCCGACAGGAAGCACGTGCAGGGGGCTCTGGCAAAGCAGCCCCTCCCCCACTCACTACCCACCCCAGCTGGGGGAGAACCTCCCCATCCAAGGCCCACCCTGACCTGGGAGAAGCAGCCCCTCCCCTACTCGCCATCCACCCCAGCTTGGGGGAGAAGAACCTCCCCATCCAAGGCCCACCCTGACCTGGGAGAAGCAGCCCAACCCCTGTCCACCATTAACGCTGACCTGGAAGAATTAGCCTCTCTGCTACCCACCTTTCGCTCTGACCTCCGCTGTCCATCATTAACCCTGGCCTGGGAGAAAAAGCACCTCCCCCACTTACCATCTACCCTAGCCTAGGAGAAGCAGCAGCTCCCTGTACACCATCCACCCTTACAGCCTTACCTGGGAGAAGCCACCCCCCATCCACCATC